GCTTAAAACGGCGTTTTGACGCAATAACAGGCACCTTTTGCTCGACACATTGACAAGGCTGAAACCTATTGATAAACCAAACTACTACTACCTATGGTAAAAATAATGACGTCAAGATCGTTCTTGAAGCCTTACACGTGATGTCCTCTCAACGATCCTTGACGTTCCCCACACACTCCTTTGCTTTTCCCTTTTTAGAACCCCCGACGCCCCGTATCATGCACCAGCACTCCCACGTCACTCCTGTTTATCTTTTTCCCTGTTTCCTTTTTCTTGTTTCCTTTTCGTGGCTTTTCTCTTTACTCATCATTTTTGTTATTCCTTGCTTCTTTCCTGGCCCTCACTACTTTTACCTTCAGCACATTCCACTTTACTTCTTATGTTACCCATTCACACCTTTACATTGACACAGCACAACAGCACCACGATTGCACCACGATTGCACCCTGATTCCACACGTCATCGTCAAGCACCATGTTAACGATTTTATCATCATCATCATCATTCCCTCGGTTGTTTCCGAATGCACCATGATCATGTTTATTATTCAGACACACTATCGTTGTTATCCGACACACTATATGTAAAATCAGACAAGCTAATCGATATGAACACACACACACACACACACACACACGCACACACACACACACACACACACACACACACGTGAATGCCATCTTTATCATTGTCGTTATCATTGTATCTCTCAATCTAGTATAAATTAACCCAATTGTTAAATAAAGAATCAGCAGCTTTGAAGTGAATTGAAAGATTGGATTGTTTCCATTGCTGGTCGCTGACTGTTGTGCGAATTAGAAACCCCTTTTTCCTTTAGACTCTTCATTGATACTCTCGATTGTACCCTTGAACCCCTCCCTTTGATTATCTTTTCGTGTGATCATTGCAGGTTGTTATTACAGTCTACTTTGGTCATTGTTCATTTTACTTTTATTTGATATTCATTGTATTTCTATTTGCCGGTGGAGTCTTTCTATCTTTTACACACACAAACCCTTTACTTACCTCCCCGGATATTCGTATATTACCTTTAGCACCGCACGTGTCAGATTGGTGTCAGCAAGGTGGAAAACATGTCAGCAGAACAAGCGCGTGCCGTGCCATCAAACATGCAATCAGAATTGAAACACAAGCGTCAACTATACAAGTTCTTATCCGAACCCAAGGACTTCCATGGCACTTCCGATCGTAATCCCTTGAGTTGGTTACGCCATTTGGATCGCATTCGACGAGGACTTGAATTGAAGGACGAAGAAATCTTGCTTGTTGCATCCACCCACTTCCAAGGTCAAGCTGAACTTTGGTGGGATACCGTTGAGGATGAAGTCAAGACATGGATGCAATTTAAAGAGGCCTTTCGTAAACAATTCGCTGAATCCTTGCAAGATCGATGGTGGTCAGAGTTGGAAACCATGGAACAAGAGGATGATCAATCGGTGGATGATGTTGCGTTGTCGATTCAAGAATTATGTCGTCTACTCGATATCAAGGATAAAAACTACCACATTCGTTGCCTGTTACGTGCTCTGAAACCTGAAATTGGATTTGAGCTTGAGAAAAGTGGTGTCACTGCCGACTGGGATAAGGTGATCAAGGCTGCTCGCCAAGTGGAAGTTGTTATGAACAAGTACAGCAAGTCTGGATTTTCTGTTCCCACCAAGCATACCACCAGCATTGCTTCGACAAGGAGCTCATCTTCCAAGAATAGTGAAAAGGATGCCAAAAGTGATTATGATGTCGCAAGTATCGGAAGCTCCCTCGATGAATTGGTTTCCGGTATGCGTGCATTAAAGATCAATCTTGTGGACAAGCCTCCAAGGACCAAACCACCAGCTCGAGGACCAATTCGCTGTTTCCTTCGCCATCAAGAAGGACACAAGTCATATGAGTGTCCTGAGAACAAGCCGGGAAAAGTGAACGGGCACCAATGAATGGAGGTATTGGTGCCGACAAAGTAAAATCCTCCTCACTTGATAAGCAAGACCATGAAGAATCCAAGCCGGGTGACGTCAATTTGTGGAGAACGAAGAAGCTGTTGAAGTCATGAATGCCCATAAGAGAACGGCTGATGATGCTTCGTTGTCCAACCATGGCATGGATAAAGGCAAGAGACCCGCAAGAGCTGTGGCATCCCAATCACAACCCATGGATATTGAACCAGTCAATCAAGGCACTCGACAAGGTAAAACAATGAGACCACGCAAACGTGCTCCTCCAAGGCGACTAGTGGTGAACACGCCAAAAAGAGACATTTGGCGAAGATTGGGCCAACTTGATGCAGGGTTGACTATGGCTCAATGGATTTCCTTGGATAAGAATGCTTATCGTGATTTGCGTGATGGTCTCAGATACCTCTATGGCCGCAAGCCCAAATCCGAAAGCCGCAAGTCCCCAGGCCAAGTGAACAATATGGAAATCGACATTGGTGCTGATGATGAAGAAGGATGGTCTACTGAGTCGGAGTGGTCCGAGGCAGATACAGAATCAATATATAGTGCAAGCTCCCTTGATACCGATGATACTCATCTTGATTATCCTTACGATTTCTCTACTCTTCAAAAGAGCAAGCCAATGAAAGCACCAATCGTCATTAATGGTGAAGTGATTGAAGCAATGTTCGATACGGGAGCTAGCGTCTCTGTGATTTCCAAGCCTTTAGCAGAGAAACTGGGACTGGAGCCGAATGGTGATTGCTTGCCGTTGTCTACTCTAGGACAAACATCAGCTGGTGTAGGAAAAGTTACGACTCACGTACCTAGGATCATTGAAAAGATAGGGGACCACATTTTATATACTATATATACATAAATATACGTAGCTAAATAAGGAAACTGGGCTTTAAATAAAACCCGACATGGTAACTGCATGCTCCGAAACGATCTAAAACAATCTCAAAAAGCAGTCACATAAGAAATTGATGCCCAATTTTGTACCTAAAGAAGGCTAAACCAAAGCTATACACTTGAGGGACCATGGCTTATTCGTCGACACTTCTATCAGCTTTTCATACCACTGCTAATGCTGTAGATGAAAAGAGCAAGTCCAAAAACCTTGTAGATGATGAGAAAAACACACCCAACTTTGACCTTCATTTTCTCGACAGCCAATTGCCTAAATGACTTGCCAACCATTGTCGGTGGTGATATAGAGTCGTAGTATTTTGGTGAAAGTGCCAAAATCGCAATACAGGCTTTGACCACTTCTATTTTTGGCGCTTGCGTGGGTCACCAGACCGAAATGTGAGGAGGTTGCCAGTTCGAAAGTTTGGTTTAATGGTCAACATCCTTCTCTGTTGACCGAGGGGTATGGGTTCGATTCCCGGGGAGTACCTTTTTACCATAAGTGATGTTGTCGTAGGTCATGTGACCACGTGACCTAGCTTTTGCTCGTCCCTTCTAGAACCCTTTTCCTTTTGATGCTGGCAATTGCTAGAAGCCCTTTACTAGCATCTTCCACATCATTCATAGAATCCATACATTGAACATATATATATCGTGAACATCCTTAGCAATAAAAGATCATCACTTATCATAGCAACACCAAAAGTTATATCATTGGCCACTGATCTAATCAGCCATACGATAACGACAATTGGTAGCTGATGACTTTTAATCATCCATCGCCTTTGAACAATCGAGCTTTTCAAGAATATCGTGAACCAATCCCGGAACCTATTGAATTATCTGACGACGAATCTCAAGTTACAAATCGACAACCGTTTATTATGGAAGGCATTGAACAAGAACAACGACAAGGACAAGGACAAGGACAAGGACAAGGACAAGATATGAATACGGCTATTTTGACTGCATTGACCCAACTGCTCAAGAACTAGGAGAACCAAAGAGGCCCAATGTTTAGACCCAAGCTACGAGAACCGGACACTTACCAGGGAACAAGAACCCCACATGCTGCTGAAAGCTGGCTACGATCTGTACAACGTTATGCTGATGTGACTGGAATGGATGAAGTTGACCGAGTCCAATATGCCATCAATCTTTTTCGAGGAGATGCTGACACATGGTGGCGTACAAGAGAAATTGTTGGACACGATGCAAGCACTTGGATTGATTTCTGCAAGCTGGTACTAGACGAATTTCGACCTCGCAATGCCAAACAGACTGCACGTGATCGATTGGCTGCATTGACACAAACTGGCACCGTTGAAGAATATGTGAACGACTTCCGCAACCTTTGGCTCGAAATTCCAACAATGACTGATGATGAAGCTTTGGACCGTTTTGTACGAGGATTGGCTGAAAACGTTCAAGTCTATGTACGCACCCAATTCCCGACCACAACTGCACAAGCTGAAAGAATCGCATTCGCCTACGAAGGAGCCATGTCGTTACACCAAAATGCTGCCGACAAGATGACAAGACTTGAACCTCCACGACAACCATCTCGGGATGTTGAATACATGGATTTGGATGCTGTACAAACAAGATATCGACGTAATGATTGGCGCACACCAAGAACCTTCAGTCGTCGTGACAACCGCATGAATCAAGAACCACCTCGTTGCTACAATTGTGGAGGCCTTGGTCATCTACAACGTTCTTGCCCATCCAACTTACCTGGTGAATGGCGTTATCGACCTGCTTCTCAACGACCTGGCAACAAGCATTTAAAAGACGAGGCGCGACGTATGTAAAGGAGTCATCGTCGCGCACAAACATCAATCAGCAAAACTCCTTGAATGCAACCACCACCACTACTCAGCAAGTACCTGAAGGCCGGCTCATTGATCTCACCGAGGAACCCGATTTTGGAAATGTCAACCCGACACCTGAGCTAGATTTGGATGTCAATCATTTGAAGGAACTCAACGCAATAAAGGAATCTGATTTGCCCTTGTATTCAATGGTCTGCAATGGAACACCTGTTACTGTTTTGCTCGATACTGGTGCTAGTACATCTTACCACCTACTTTCCAAAAGATGATGAATTCAATCCTTGGTGATTTCCTCGACAAGTTTGCCCTGGTTTACCTTGACGACATCCTTATCTTCAGCCGTACCAAAGAAGACCATCTCAAGCATGTTCGAATGGTGTTGGATCGTTTGCGAGCCCATAAGCTATACGCCAATCTCAAGAAGTGCGAGTTCAACAAGACTGAATTGGAGTTTGTCGGCTTCCAAGTGAGTGCTCAAGGTATCCTGCCATCCAAGTCCAAGGTCAAGGCGATTCAAGAGTGGCCCATTCCCACCAATGTTCAAGAGGTGCGGCAGTTTATCGGTTTGGCGTCTCATTATAGGCGATTCATTCGTGGCTTCTCAACGATTGCTGCACCACTCACGGACTTGACAAAGGGAAGTGGGAGCAAGACGCGTTTGATTGAATGGACACCTGAGTGTCAATCGGCATTCGAAGAGATTCAGTCACGCATGATTCAAGCACCCACCTTGGTACCACCCAATGCAGCAAGGCCCTTTGTGATCGAAACGGATGCATCCGATTTTGGTGTTGGCGCTGTTCTTTTGCAAGAAGGTGACGATGGTGAATTGCATCCTTTGGCTTTTGAATCCAAGAAGCTTTCGTCAGCGGAGCGCAATTATCCCGCACAAGAAAGAGAGCTGCTGGGTATCTTGCATGCGTTACGTTCTTGGAGATGTTTCATTGAAGGTCGCTCTTACAAGGTGTATACGGATCATCATCCACTCAAGTATTTCAGGTCTCAACGCAAGCCCACACCTCGTTTGACTCGATGGATTGCTGAAATGGAGCTGTATGATCCCGATATCCAATACAAGCCTGGCAAAGACAATCATGTACCTGATATCCTTTCTCGACGTGATGGTGCTCATTGTCTTACCAATGAATCGGATATGGAGCCTGAGTATCTTTATGCAACACGCGC